GTTGAGACTAGTCTTGTATTAGTGTCGGTTTTAACCATAAGTATGTAAGAGAACTATTCAAATTTGTTGACGCAATTTATGTATTACTTACACTACAATATTATTATTCAAATTTTACACTTCTCATACATCATCAGTTTCATATATGTATTTTACGAATCATTGTGAATTCTGATTACACAAACGATGTATAAATGTCTATTAATCAAGAATCACATAATTGTATAGAGAAATCCGATTTTTGTCGGCAAAATTTTTCTCAAATGATTTGTTAGCCAATCCCATCACATTCCAACTAAGCCACAACTCATCACTAAAACATTATTTTCCGAACCATATAAACCATTCAACTCCCAAGCTCACATTCCCCTTAACTCCACAGATAAACTCAACTTCAAAACGCAAATGGCTACCATTCATCAAACTCTAGCTCCTTTTCTCCTCCTCGCCGCGGTTTTCCTCCCCGCAGAGATAACCGCTCAGCGCGCCGCTCCCGCTCCTGGCCCTGCCGGTCCGATCAACATCACGGCGATCCTAGAAAAAGGCGGTCAATTTGTTACTTTTATTCGTCTTTTAAACACAACTCAAATTGGAAGCCAAATCAATATCCAAATCAATAGTTCATCAGAAGGTATGACCATTTTCGCGCCAACAGACAACGGTTTTCAAAACCTTAAACCCGGAACCCTAAACAAGTTAAGCTCAGAAAACCAAGTCAAACTCATTCTCTACCATGTTAGTCCCAAGTTCTACACATTGGACGATCTTCTCTCCGTAAGTAACCCGGTAAGGACTCAGGCTTCAGGACGAGACGATGGTGCGGTTTACGGGCTTAACTTCACTGGTCAAGGAAACCAAGTCAATGTATCAACCGGTATGATTGAGACACGTGTGAGTACTGCATTAAGACGTGAACGTCCTCTTGCGGTTTACGTGGTGGACATGGTTTTGTTACCGGAAGAAATGTTCGGAGAACGTAAGATCTCACCGGTTCCGGCGCCTAGTCCGATATCAAAATCTCCTAATGTCTCTGATGATTTAGACTCCACTAAGAAAGCGGCGGTTCCGACTTCAGAGAAGTCTGGCTCCGGTGAGATGAAGGTTGGATTAGGGTTTGGTCTTGGACTTGTTGTGTTGTGTTTGAAATTCCTCATTTGATGATTGGTTTCTATATATGTTTATTTTATTGTGTGGTTTGTAATAAGAAATTTCTTAATTGAATGAATATACATGATGCATGGATTGATAAATGAGATGTAATTAAATAAGAGATTATTATTTTAACTAGTGCGTGTATGAAGAATGTTGTATCATGTAGTTATAAAACGTTTATAAATTTATTTTAGTCTCAGTAAAGCATTTTAGAAAATAAAACGAAATTGAGTTGAAGTAGTCATCAACTTCTTATATTACTACCAGGACAATGTTTTGAACTTGTACCCAATTCGCAAGGCGATAAGTCATAAACACCAAATGATGAGACTAAAGAGAATGCGGAATATACAAAACTCTACTTTTAGATTTTCTCAAAATCCCAAACCAATAATGACTTTTGAGTTTCAAGAGGAGGGATCAATAAGGTTTCTATGGCTGGTGTTGAAGAGACCTCTTGAGATCAACGGCTTCTTTGAGCTTACGACCAAGAGCAAACGCCAATGATGGTGGAACTGCATTCCCAATCTGCCTATGCTTGTGTATTATGGTTCCTGCAAACTCATAGCTATCCGGAAACCCCTGCAAGTTTTTTATACACCAACAGATTCAAAAATCGATTCGATGCACAACCAATTTTAAGAGCTATATCCATTCCAAAACACTCAACATCATATCTCAAATTATTTCTATACCACAAGTGTTTTGCAATTTCTAGACTGTTACTGATGCAAGAGGACTGACTATGAACAAAACCCAATACTCTTATCTAATCTTTGAATCGGATAACCTTTTAACTTGAAAGGTGTCACTACATGAAACAAAAAGAGTTTCTTGTTTACCTGAGATCGGGCGCATTCACGGACTGTGAGAATTCTGTCCTGGTCAGGATGGAAGCACATTCCCACCTTACCCATGGGCTGAGGATCAGTAATGGAAGTGGGAAAGTTACCTTCCCAGTCTAATCTCCCAAAGAGTCCCTTCCACTGGTTGTGGCGCTTAGCGGTGTTTGGCAGACACCAAGGAATCAGATCCTCAGTCTTTCCATTTGATAACGTCACCTGTAAAGGTAAAAGAAAGATCTTAAGTTGATCTTAAGAGTTTTAAAGGAACTCCTACCTATTCTGGTAGCCAGACTAAGGAGAAAAAATAGTTTTAAGACTGACCTTTTCGTCTGGGAGGTCACGCCAATCAGCACCTGGCCTCTTTGGGATATTCTTACATCGAATGAGGTTTAGTTCATTCATTGCTTTACAGATATGATCAGTGAGAGAGATCATGTTTCCTCTTATCACCTTTTGGAACGACGAGACTGGATCAGCTTTATACTGCAAGACACAAGAATCCCCCAAAAAAGAGTTTCAAATGGGTTTACATCGTTGTGTTAACATATATGTATGCATATAAATACTTTCTCCAGATCTGTTATTATACCTCTTGGTTTGTCCTGGCTTCTCCGTTTTCTACTTGTGGAAGATCACCAATTGTGTCTCTCACAGTGATTGAGCGGAAAGGTGCACCCTTTTGTGTACTACGAACAGCAGCATAATGTAAGCCTTGAGATAGTGAGATTTTCAACTTGGGAACACGAAAGACATGCATCGGCTCAGGCCATTCTGGAAGAACTTCTTCTGGTGCAGCTGCCCAAATAAAAGCTCTTTTACGAGACTGGGAAACTCCATATGCACCTGCCTCCAAGATTCCAAATCTCACCTGGAAAACATCATATTAAACAAAACGTTGTATTCAATTTCACAGACTGTATTTTAAAAACCATGGCACGCAACCTTCTAAGAGAGAGCAAGTATGGAACACAGAGAGCATGAGACAAAATAATATCATTAGGATTTACCTGGTAACCCATTTCGAGAAGAGAAGCCAGAGTAAGTCGAAATGTCTGCCCTTTATTGTGTGACACAAAGGTCCTCACGTTCTCCAGAAGAAAATACCTTGGTCGGAAATAATCAGCAAAGGACAAGAATGCTAATATCATTTCACACTGAACTTTACTCCAAGGGCTGTAGTTGAACCTGTTCATACCAGAAAATCCCTGCCATATTGCATAGGTTAAGAGAGCTTTTCATTTATTCAACAAAAATAGTAGACAAGTACAGGAACTATTTTTTAATATATACCTGGCATGGAGGACCTCCGTTGATGAAATCCACTTGACCAGGCAGTGGCAGAGTACTTTTCTGGTTCTCATCAAGTTTAGCTGCAAGTTCGGCTGCTTCCGTAGTAGCGATACAATCATCTTCATCTCCACATTTCTCCATTATAGCCCTGCAAATCATCTCAACAACTGATCAGAACATAAGAAATAGCCACATTGGAAGAGTAAGTGTGTATCTTGTTGGCTATTTACCTAAGAATCACATTGCAGTTGTTAACAAAAACTGTTGATTCGGTATGGTTTTGTCTAAAAGCCTGCCCAGCTGGCTCTTCATACTCGATCGCCCATTTTGTTGCAGATACACCTTATACATAAAGCATGCATATGAATACAACTTGTTCAAGCGTTTTGGTGTATAAATTGTTGAATAGAGAGATAATACATACCCGCCTGTTCCAGTCCATGAGACAGTCCACCACAACCAGCAAAAATATCTAGTGTGGCCAGACGCAACTCTTTAGGTACCTCTTCAGGCTTCACAATACTGGAATCGCTTTCAATCTCTAGACCCTTCCCCTTTTTCTTTCTTAGAAGCATGTCATCCTTGATAGTAGAGAACTTCAGCTTGATATTGGCAGGCAACTGTTACAAGACAGTTAAGAGAAACAATTTAACTTTGTATCAGAAACAACAAATTAATGTATATGCAACTACTGTATGAATTAAATTAATTGACAGCCAACGAAAGGAGTGAAGACATATATACCTGCTTGAGAGAACCTTTGGACGAGTCATAGAAATGCTCACAGAAGAAGATATTGTCTGATAATGGATATTCACGGGACAACTGCATATCATTTTTCTTCCTTACTTCGCATTTTCCCTTTAGTGCCCCTGGAGGAAGAACATCTGTATCCTGGCTGTAATACAACTAAAACAAACAAAAAAAAAACAGAGGAAAACGATTGTGAGATAAACTTATGAAGACACCAACAAAATAACCTCCCTTACATAAATCATCACTAGATTTATGACATGAGAAATAGTTCTTACCTCTTGGATGTCTGAAGTATAGGCCTTATCTGCGGAAATATCCTCAGGCCTATAAAACCTTCTCACTTTAACCTCAAAGGAGCCCAAATCAGCCTTTCTAGAATCCTTGGGGACAATGATTTCCAATAATTGGCAAACAACAAAAGCTCTTAACCCAATGTTCCGCCCAGACTTAAAATTTCCAATACCATTCTTCAGTCCATCTACAGTCATATAGTCGGGTTTGACATAGACATAATCTTCAGCAGAATACTCGATCCCTTTGGAGAAAAAGCCTGTCTTTGTAACATTGAGTTTAATTTCTGACCTTTTCTCTTCATCCTCCCTTAACCTACATGAATTGCAGAATCCAGAACCACGACCAATATCACTTAGTGGAAGACTAAAGAATCCCCCTCTCTCAGGTGAGTACAAGCTCTTGCAGTAGTACTCTGTAGGCAAATCTTTAGCTTTTCTTTCATCTGCTCTTGTCCGGTCAAGCTTATCTGCAGTGGCGGTCTCTTTCCTATACTGATGCCCCCATGGCCTGGATCGCATCTCAAAAATGGCTGTTCCTTTTATGTCCTTAAGCTGCACAGTCATGCATTCATTAGTCAGAAATAGTTCCCTCTCGTTAGCAGCATTCCCTAGAACAGTCTCAGATCCTCTTTGAAGGAGTTTTCCATGTAGCATTTTGCAGTGATCTGAACTTTCGAACATGTATTCCACAAAGTAGATGGCCGGAATTTCATCTGAATCATCAACTTCCACGATGACAGCACCACCGACAGCCACAGTTTCCCCTCCAACGAGTGCTTGTCGATAGAGAGGCTCACCAGCAGAAGTTTTTCCTATGATCTCACCATCCCATCTTATTTCCATCTTTCCGGAACTGCCTCGAATTTTCTTTGGAGGATTATGAGACTTTTGAACATCAACAGATTCTGATACAGTGTTCTCCGTATCATCTTCTTCGATTTCACCCTCCTCTTCCTCAATTTCATTCTCCTCTTCAATCTCTTCCCCGCCATTTTCTACACCAATCTCCTGCAGTGGTACCTCTGGAGCGTAATTGGAGTAAAACTCACCCCAAATTCTGTTGATCAGGCGAGTTGTTGTTGCTTGCATAGCTTTCTTCTTGGATACCACATCTGTTATACCTGCCCTTGGATTGAAATTCTCTTTCTTCTGCACAATTTTTTTCTTCTTGATGACCCATTTTGTGTGGTGCCTATCCTCCAATTTACTTGCAAGACCAACAATAAATGGACACCTTCTGATATCCTTTTTAGGATATTCTGCAAAAAGCTGCAAGATTATTTGCCCATGGACAACCACATATCTCTCCACAGCCTTGGAATCAGAAGAAATGTAAGCTTTATTGTTCTTCTGGAACTCAGACAGTCTTTTAATGACATCTGCAAATGAAAGCCTAGAAATTCTACTTTGCTCATCAAGCATTGTAATAATGCTTATCGCAACCCTTGCTGTTTTCAGAACCGGTTCATACCAAAGGGAATATTGCTTCGAAGGTTTCCCAAGTCGATACCTGCATATGCATGATATGTCAGCAACAAAGAGCAAAACAAAGACGCAGACACATGTGGTACAGATACTAGAATAGACAACTTACCAGGCCACATCTGTTCGGAATGAAATGGAGACCATTCCCGCCCCAAACTCAATCATCCATTCCTTAATTTCACTAAGGAATATGGCCATCCCACCAAGATCCTGTTGCTGGGAACCCTGTGTAGAGCTGTCAGAATCATTGATATCAATCCAAGTTCCATCATCCTCAGTCATCACACCTGACCCATAGATGTTGATATCAATATCAGCACAAGGCTTCATCGGAAGAAGCTCCAGTGATATAAACCTTGTATCGGAGTTGTAAAGAGCCCAATTGTGAAGCATCCTGCGAGGCAGTTGGTCAACCTCATACACAGGCTCATACAATAAAAGCTCATCTGCCTCATCAACGGAATTCTTAAAATAAGCTGGGAGAGGGTAATCATTGGCAATCTCATCTTCATCAATCTTTATGTAGACTTTATTTGAAGCAGAAGCTGAGCTGCTGTTTCTTCTAGGCTGCTGCATAGATTTCCTATACTCTTCATCTTGTAGAAGTTTAGCATATCTTCTGTCCTCGTCAACACCATCAACCAGTTGATCACAAGCCAAGGCCTTGCTCTCTGCAACTTCAGAAACTCCTCCAATCCTCAGAGTCCCATTAGAAGGTTTTCCTACCATCTGCGCAGCATTGTCAAGTTTACTACTCCCGTCTCTGAGAGTAACAAGAACAGGAATCTCAGCAAAGCTTGTTTCATGTTTCTTAGCTGTCTCGTCCAAACCAGCAAGTTGGTTATATATGAATTCTCCCTGGGATATAACAAAGTCTTGGATGGCTGCACCGCTAGAAAAGCTCTTGCTTCCGCTCATTGACCTGACAACCGCTGCAAGCAACTCATCGAGACTCGTATCAGGATTCCCACCTGAAGACTTGGACACTTTCTTATACACAGCCACCGAAGCACATGCCTTCTCAAAGAAATAATCATACATCTTTTTGTAGCTAGTAGCAGGTTTAAGGCAATCATAATCTGCCAAATCAGTTGAGATCCATATCACAGGAGAGCCATCTTCATAGCCAGATATACTCCAATTCTCCACCCGTCCAAATGATTCGCACCTCACGCCTTTTTCTTTATCCTTACAATCTGAAGGTAAGATAACACCGGCAATGAATAAGTCCCCAATTTCCAACATTTCCACGGGCTGTGGAGCTCCATCAGTATCATGTAAAACGAAGTCAGTTAGCCTCCTGGTTTGACGATGTTCATCGGTCTGAAGAGAAGAAGTTAAGTGTAGAGCAACAATCTCGTCCTCCACGAACTGCTGTTTCTTAATTTCTACAGTAGCAGATTTTTCCGAGATACGGACAGATTTTTCCTTG